CACAGCTCTGGGAGGGGGAGGCCAAGGTGTCCCTGGACAGAGCCACTCTGGGAGCTGAGCCTGACCCAGTTTCTCAGATCCTCAGCTCAGACTAATCCCAGGTTTGTGGGGAAAGTTCCAGCCCTGAGCTGCCTGCTGGGATGAAAAGGGGCTCAGGTTAATCCTCCCTGTGGGACACGGCTCAGATCTCACCTCTCACACCTCGTGTGCTTCCCTTCCCTTGGGATCAGGAGGGGAGACAGGGACAGTCATTCCTGGTGTTGTGCTGGTCAGGAGCTCAACCCGGGGTTGGGTTCCTGGAGAAGGGGCTGGGAACCTCTTTGACACAGCAGCACTTTTGTGACAATCTCTCCCCTGAGGGGCAGGGGCTGCAGGTGCTTTGGGGCCTCAGGAGCTGCTCCAGCTGCATTTCCAGCCTGATCCTGTTCCTGGGATGCACGAGGCATCCCCAGTGCTGGGGACGAGGCTGCTGGTGGTGTTGATTGGCAGGTGGGTGATGCAGGAGGCCAGAGGATGGACTTTTCCAGGATTTTGGACTGGCCCAGTCTGTACCCCCTGCCCTCTGTGCCTTGGTTTCCTCATCCCTAAAAGCAGTGGTGATGCCGAGCTGCTCCCTGAGGTTCCAGCCCTGTGAGCACACAAACACCCTCCTGGCCCTTTGGGATTGCTGTTCCAGCAACCTGTGTCCCCTTCCAGGGGGCCACGAGGCACCACAGGCAGGTTATGGAGCTGTGCTGTGCCTGTCCCCTGCGAGGACCCCACTGGGGGCTCAGCACCACTCGGGCACTGTGGGGCTGCCAGCAGGACCACCCCCTGCCCAGGGCAGTCCCTCACCCTCCCAAACCCTGCCCCGTGTCCCCCCTGTGCTCTTGGCTGGGATTGAGCAGGAAAACTGTTGTCTTGTCGCTGCAGCAATCCATGAACATGCCTTCATTGTGTTCATCTCGTCGGCCCTGGGCCACATGCTGCTCACCTGCATCCTCTGGAGGATGACTAAGAAACACACAGTAAGTCCCGAGGTACAGACACTTCCCTTTCTTCTCTCTCTGCTGGGAGCTGGGTCTGGTGCTGTGCTGGGCAGGGGCTCTGGGGCAGATCTGGGAGCTGGAAGGGGGCTCTGGGCTGGCTGTGGGGGGCTTTGGCTGCCCTTGCTTGTGAAATGACCCTAAGGGGGTGCCAACAGCAGCAGGTGAAACTGGGAAACAGCCTCCAAAATCCGTGGTTTACCACAGCAGGGTGGGGAGGAATCTTTTCATTTCCTATTTTGTGGTTTTATCATAGAATCACAGAATCCCAGAGGGGTTTAGATTGGAAGGGACCTCAAAGCCCATCCAGTACCACCCCCTGCCATGGGCAGGGACACCTTCCACCAGCCCAGGTTGCTCCAAGCCCCGTCCAACCTGGCCTTGGACACTTCCAGGGATCCAGGGGCAGCCCCAGCTTCTCTGGGCAACCTGGGCCAGGGCCTCCCCACCCTCACAGGGAAGAATTTCTTCCCAGTGTCTAAGTTTTCCATTAAAGCTGATATGGAAAACCACCATTAGCATCCCAGTGGGTCAGGGTTGCTGATCCCTTCTCCATATCTGTTTCCAAGCTGGCATTGCCTCCCCTGTGCTGGGAATTTCTGGTCCTGCAAGCTGGGAGCAGCAGGATTTGTTTTCCCTTTCCTCCTGGAGTGGCTGTGTGGAGCAGGCTGGCTCTGGCTCTTGTCCTTGGGGAGTGCAGGATGGGCTGGGTGGGCAGTGGGTCTGGTGGAGGATCCAGCCAGGGGCTCCTGGATTCCAAGGCCTGGATGCAGCTTCTGTGCTGTGCTGGTGTGTGACACGTGTGCTGAGCTGTGGGCACTGGCACAGCCATGGCAGGACTTCCAGGTTTGTCCTGGACTGTGAGCAGGGCAGGACATCCACGTTTGTCCTGGACCTTGGGCAAGGCAGCACTTCCAGGTTTGTCCTGGACCCTGGGCAGCACTTCCAGGTTTGAAGCTGTGTGGGAGCTGCCTCTGTGCCCACGTGGCTCCTGCACCCTCGGCTTCTCCTGCAGCTCTGGGCTCCCTGGATCCCCCTGTCCTTTCCCCTCGGGATGAGTCTCTCCAGCAGATCCCAGTGCAGCCCTGGTGGTCCCCGGTGCTGACTGGGGAGGGTCCCCAGGGCTGTGTTGGCCCGGGAATGTGATCCTTTGCAGAGCAGAGCCCTTGGGAGCTGTGTGCCCGGATCCTGGGGCTGGAGCAGGCCTCTCCAAAGGGATTGTGTGGGATGCAGGGGGTGCTGTGCTCAGGGTCTGCTCAGCCCCCTGTCCCAGCAGGATGTGGGATGCAGGGGGTGCTGTGCTCGGGGTCTGCTCAGCCCCCCTGTCCCAGCAGGATGAGCCCTGGGAGGGCTCTGCTCTGGCAGTCCCGGAGCTCCCACTCCATCCCTGTTCATCCTCCCTTCCACCAGTTCACCGAGCCTGTCCCTGGGCTGCCTCACTCCAGAGACCTGGAAAAGAAGCTTCCAGCAGTTGTTTGGCTGTAAGGTTCCCTAGGAAAGGGAGTGTTGGAGGTGCTGGGGTTCCCCTTGCTCACTGGGAAGTGATGTGGGAATATCAGGAGCTCACAGTCATTCCTTGGCAGCTTTCCCGTGGCTTCCTTTATTTATGTCACTCTTTTTGGCCTCTCTTTGTTTTTTTGGAGAGACCTCCAAGGCCCTGGATCTCCTCCCCAGCACTGCCCTGTCCCTGCCTGGGCTGGATCATCTCCCCTGCCCTGGGCACGGGTGGGATACCCTGAATGCTGGGGGCAGCTTTGGGCTGGAGCAGCAGGAGGGGCTGAGGGAGCTGGGGGGGCTCAGCCTGGAGCAAAGGAGGCTCAGGGGGGACCTTCTGGCTCTGCAACCCCCTGACAGGAGGGGGGAGCCGGGGGGGGGTCGGGCTCTGCTCCCAGGGAACAAGGGACAGGAGGAGAGGGAACGGCCTCAGGCTGTGCCAGGGGAGGCTCAGGTGGGATATTGGGAAGATTCTTTCCTGGATGGGGCTGTCCAGGCCTGGCACAGCTGCCCAGAGCAGGGGTGGAGTCACATCCCTGCAGGGATTCAACAGCCACGGAGGATGTGGCACTTGGGGACAGGGGTCAGGGGTGGCCTTGGCAGTGCTGGGGAACAGTTGGACTCGATGATCTCAGAGCAATTTTCCACCCTTGATGATTCCGTGATTCCCCTACCCGAGGAGCAGAGGGATTTGCTCACCCTGGAGGAACAGGGGACACAGTGACAGGGTGACTGAACGTGCCACCCGTGGCACGGTGCCACCACCTGCCTTTCTCCTCCTACCCTGGAACTGCCCTGCTCGTGGAGGGGGGTGTGTCACCCCAAAGCTGGGTGTCACCCCAAAGCTGGGTGTCTCCCCGAGCAGAGAGGAGCTCTCAGGGCCAGCCCTGCCCTGTCCCTGTGCCAGCCCCACACGGGGCCACGGGATGGAGCTGTTGGCTGGGGCGTGAGGGTGACGGGGGAGCTCCGGGGAGGAGGAAGGGGAGGTGCTGTGGGGTGACACAGCTCCCACACGGGATGTGTCAGGGTGAGGCACGTCCAGCACTGTCACCCTTGGTCTGCAGATCTGCCCTGTCCCGTGACTGAGCCGGGCTCCTGCTGGGAATCGCTCCCATGGATCCTCCAGCCCCAGCGGGGTCTCCTGGAGCTTGTCCCACTTCTGTCTGGGTTCCTTGGTGGCCCCCAGTGGGCTTGGCCCAGCTCCTGTGACCCCCGTGGCTGCCTTGGCTCGGCAGGGAGGGACAGCAGGGCTGCAGGAGGTGCCACTGGCACATCCTCCTGCCTGATCCCAGTGTCACTGCCGGGCTCTGGGAGCAGGGACAGCCTGGGCAGTGCCAACCGAGCTCCCTGGGCTGGGGTTCATGGGGCTGCTCCAGGCCAGGGCACAGGTGATCCCTCCCTGTGGGTCACAGCACCCCGGGGACAGATCCTGCCTCCGTTCGTGTCCCTCGTGGGGACTTTTTGTTCACCTTTGCTGCCCCCGGCCCCGGAGGGACAGGAGGGGACAGGGAGGGGACAGCTCCGGTCCTGCGGTGTCCTGTCCTTCAGCAGAGGAAGCCACCAAGAGTCCCCACGGGGTTCCTGCAGGGCCAGACCTGGGACCGTGTCCAGGACGAGCTCCTTGTGAAGAGCTGGGAGGCTGGATCTGTGTGGAGGAGGGAGCAGGGGGTCCGTGTCCCTCCCAGCCCCGAGTCTGGCGCTGCTTTTAACCCTGTTGGAGAGGGAGCAGCTCCCCGGGACTGTCGGGGTTTCCGTGTGTGAGGGACAGGAGCTGGCCCTGAGGAACAGGAATTCGTCTTGCAAAAGCTTCTCGTGTTGCAACTGCAGTTGTGCCAGGGCAGGAAGGGGGGGAGGAACCGGCTCCTGATGGGGAAGTACCGGCGGCTTCCAGTTACGGGGGGTTAATGGGGAGGGAGAGGAAAATAAAGCTCTGCAGGAGGGGAGAGGAGAGAAAGCAGGAGAGAGGACGAGGGGAAGGGGCAGAGCAGAGGAGGGAGCTCCCGGGGAGAGGAGGAATGGAGCCTGGGAGCCTCCAGCTGTGGCTGGTCACAGCCCCCCGTCCTTGGGGTCGGCCGTGGTGTGGCAGTGCCCGCCCTGCCTGGCAACCCTGCTGGTCCTGCCTGGCAGCTCTGCTGTTCCGGGCCAGCTGATCACCCTGAGAACCCTCCTTCCCCCGGCCCTGCTGCCTGAGCAGGACAGCAGAGCAGAGCAGTTTCACTTCTTGTTTGCAGACACGTTTCCTCCCCGGCCCAGGGCTGGTGGCACCGGTGCAGACACCGTGGGCTGTGTGGTGGCCACGGGGCTGGGCTGGCTCATACCCAGGAGAGGCCACAGAGCTGCTCCCAGGGCTGGAGCCCCTCTGCTCTGGAGCCAGGCTGGGAGAGCTGGGGGGGTTCACCTGGAGAAGAGAAGGATCCAGGAAGAGCTGAGAGCCCCTTGCAGGGCCTAAAGGGGCTCCAGGAGAGCTGGAGAGGGACTGGGGACAAGGCATGGAGGGATAGGACAGGGGGAATGGCTTCCCACTGCCAGAGGGCAGGGATAGATGAGATATTGGGAAGGAATTCCTGGCTGTGAGGGTGGGGAGGCCCTGGCCCAGGTTGCCCAGAGAAGCTGTGGCTGCCCCTGGATCCCTGGAAGTGTCCAAGGCCAGGTTGGACGGGGCTTGGAGCAACCTGGGCTGGTGGAAGGTGTCCCTGCCCATGGCAGGGGTGGCACTGGGTGGGCTTTAAGTCCCTCCCAACGCACCCCACTCCGTGGCCAGTGCAGCTGGGCCCTGCTCTGCCCCTCCCCTGTCTCCTCCTGTCCCCCCACCCTGCAGGGCAGGCGGGCTGAGCCCAGCCCGGGGCTGCAGCTCTGGAACCCCCTGTGCAGCTGTGCAGGGCAGGCTCTGGGTCACCCCCGTGTCCCCCCAGCACCCTGTCCCGGGGCAGGAGCTCGAGCAGGGCCTGCAGACACCGCGCTGACCACGCGTGGGCTCAGCCCTGGGAGCACTGACACGGCTCAGAGCAGCCCTCTATAAATATCTGAGCTGTGTCTGCACGCTCTGCCTCGGGCTTCCTGCAGGCACCCAGAAACCCTGCGGGGCTTGGGAGGGCCCTGGGGAGCGAGCTGAGCTGCTGCCTTCTGAGCTAATGTCACTTTGTCCCCATCAGGAACTGGGGGGTGAACTCGGCAGGGTCCCTCTTCTTCCTCTCCAGAGGCCCTGGAGAATGGTGACCCCCAGCCACCCCTCAGCCCCTGGAGCTGGGTGTGCAGGGCTGGGGCTGCCCCAGGATGGAAGAAGAAGTCCCCCAGTGCCTCCCATGGGGTCAGGGCAGTGCCCCCAGGCTGTGCCCCCAGACTGAGCGGGTGCAGCTGCTCTCCCCTCTCCCTCACTGTCCAGTCTCCTGCTCCTGTGTCTGTATTCCCTGGGGAATGTGCCTCAGCTCCCAGCTGGGCACTAAATAGAATTTCCCTGTGGTTTTCTGGGCCAGACACATGGAGAGCTGGGGGTGGTGGAAGCAGGGGGCTGGCAGGGGACACGGGTGCCCCGCTCTGTCGTGCCAGGAGGAAATTGCGAAGCCGGGGTTGGCACTGCAGCTGTGCCAGCCCCAGGCAGGGCACGGGGGGAGCCTGGTGCCCCTTCCTCGGGGGTTTCTCATCCCCCTTTCCCCCCAGGCAGCTGGAGGGTGGAGGTGTGGGGCTCCTGCCAGGCTGCTTGGAGCTGCCAGCTCCTCTCCAGGGCACTGCCCCTGCTCCTGCTGCAGGACCCCGAGGTGCCCCCACAGGAGTGACCACCCCGGGCTCACCTCAGCACCCCGACCCTGCACCTCTGGGTGCCCTCTGTGCTCCCTCTCTCCCAGTCTGGGCCCAGGATTATCCCGTGGGTAATTAGGTGTTAATAATTAGGTGTTAATCACTAATGCCCGGGCAGGCCAGCTCAGCCCAGTGCCCCGGGGGTCGCACCAGCAGGGTCCCCAGGGGCAGGAGGAGGGGCTGGGAGGTGGCACATGATGGGACAGATGCCCACGGTGGGCAGAGGTTTCTCAGCAGCCGCTGGCTTGAAATGTGGCACCTCGGGGAAGGTCCCTGCAGGAGCACGGGCAGGACACTGAGCACAGCCAGGGCACCACGGGGGGATGTGGGAGCTGGAGTGTTACCACCTCCCAGCTGCAGGAGGAGGAGGAGGTGGGAACAGGCCTTCCCACACTTTGGGAAGTGCGATGGGAGCTCCAGGAGCTGCTGGATGGAGAGGAGCTGCCCACTGCTCGCTGGTGTGGGCTGCACCCTCTGTCCTGCTCGTGGCTCGGGCAGCACCAGGAGATGTCCCTGCTTCCCACAGCCCCACTTTGTGGGGATCCCCCCCTCTGTCCCCTCAGGGGGTATCCCCAGGTGGTCCAGAGGAGGGTACCAAGATTAGAGGGATGGAGCCGCTCTGCTGTGAGGAAAGGCTGAGAGAACTGGGATTGTTCAGCCTGGAGAAGAGAGGCTTTGGGATGCCCTAATTGTGACCTTCCTCCTGAAGGGAGCCCACAAGAAAGAGGGAGAGAGAGTATTTACAGGGGAACGGCCTTAAGCTGAAGGAGGGCAGGGTTAGATGGGATACTGGGAAGGAATTCCTGGCTGGGAGGGTGGGGAGGCCCTGGCCCAGGTTGCCCAGAGAAGCTGTGGCTGCCCCTGGATCCCTGGAAGTGTCCAAGGCCAGGTTGGACGGGGCTTGGAGCAACCTGGGCTGGTGGAAGGTGTCCCTGCCCATGGCAGGGGGTGGCACTGGATGGGCTTTAAGGTCCCTCCCAACCCAAAGCATTCCATGATCCCAGGAGGTCCAGCTGCCCCCAGGCTTTGGGGCTGTGGGGGTGCTGTGGGGGTGCAGCCCCGGGCAGGGCCTGTGCTGGGAGCTCTCAGCCGTTTGTGCTGCCGTGGGACCGGGGTGCAAACAGGGCTGTTTGTGAGCCACGTTTCCGGAGTGAAACCTGCCCTCAGCCCGGCTGCTCGGGGTGCATCACCCCCGGCTGGCACCGCTGCTCCTCCCACCCCGCACCCTCCCTGATCCCAGCTGCCAGGAGCCGCTGGGACAGGAGGAATGGGGCAGGACCCTCCTCTGTCCGAGCAGGAAGGACCTGCTGGGCCCCTCGGGGTGGAGGTGGCGTCACCGGCGTGTCCCCACATGGGAAAGGGCCCCGTCCTTCCTCTCTGGGTTTTCCTCCCGGGCTGAGCCCCCAGTGCGTTCCGGGGGGTGATGGAAACTGTGATGGGGCAATTTAAATTTTCCTTGCTCTCAGCACTCCCTCAAAATGGAATTTCTGTCTCACGTGAAGCGTCGGAGGAGGGGGAAATCCCCCTCCCACCCGTGACAGCCCTGGCTGTCTGTGGCATCCCCAACCTGCCGTGTGGGGCTGAGACCCCCTTGCATTCCCCCTGTCCCAGGGCTCCCCTGCCTCCTCCGTGGGCTCCAGCCTTGGTTCCTGTGCTCTGGGGCTCCCTGCACACCCCAGGGCTGTGTGTTTCCTTAACTGTGACCCTCAGTGTCAGGGGAGAAAGAGAGGAAGGGGGGCTCCTAGGGGCTTTGGGGGTGGTGGACAGTGGGTTGGGGGACAGTGTTGTGGGGGACAGGCCTGGCCCCTGGGCTGCCCCCCTTGTGGAGGGCTGAACTCTGCTGGCACAGGAGCAGCAGGCTGGGCTGTGGGGTGTGGAGTGCTGGGTGTGGGGTGCTGGGGTGTGGGGGGCTGGGGTGTGGGGTGCTGGAGTGTAGGGTGCTGGGGTGTGGGGTGCTGGGGTGTGGAGTGCTGGGTGTGGGGTGCTGGGCTGTGGGGTGCTGGGGTGTGGGGGGCTGGGTGTGGGGTGCTGGGTGTGGGGTACTGGGGTGTGTGTGGGGTGCTGGGGTGCTGGGGTGCTGGCTGTGGTGTGCTGGGGTGTGGGATGCTGGGGTGTGGGGTGCTGGCAGCATCCCTGTGCTCTGCCCCTGCCTGTCACAGGTGGTGCCGAGGGGCAGGATGGGGCCCCTCCAGTGCCAGGGCAGGGTCGGGCAGCAGCTCTGCCGCCCCAGCTGCCTCCCCTTCATGTGGTTTCCTCCTCCCTGGTGCAGTTGTGGGTGAGGGGGTGCAGCCCCCGCTGAATTCCGCCCGCCTGGGGGGCCGGGGCCACCTGCAGCCGCGGGAGCTGCGGCGGGTACAGCCGTTGGCAGGTCCTGGGGGAGCCCCTCCTGCACCCCAGCACTGCCCACGGGCACCCCACGTCTGCTGGGGCCCCCGTGGCTCCTCTTGCTCCGTGATCCCCCCCTGTGCCCCAGGGCACGGCCCTGCCAGAGCCACAGGGCAGCCCTGGGCCTTTGGGAGGGCACAGAGAGAAACCCCCCAGGACTGTGTGGGGCCAGGGCAGAGCTTCCCTGGGATAGGGGTGGAGATGGGGATGGGGATGGGGATGGAGTTGGGGTGGAGATGGGGATGGAGACAGGCATGGCTGCTCTGGCATCCCCATGGTGTGCAGGGCTGAGGGTCCTGGCAGGGACAGGGCACTGACCCAGCTCCGGGTCTCTTCCAGGAGCGCAAGTCGTACAAGTGGAAGCAGCTGCTCTTCTTCTTCACCTTCATCACGTTCGCGTTCGCCGTGTGTGTGTATTTCCACCACAACTGGTACTGCGGCCCCGGAGGTGCGGGCAGGGGCAGGGGGGCTGTGCAGGGAGGGGCTGGGGGATCACAGCATCACTGGGGCTGGAAAAGCCCTCCCAACCCATGGATCCCCCCTGTGCCCCATCCCCACCTTGTCCCCCAGCCCAGAGCACTGAGTGCCACGGCCAGGCCTTCCTGGGACACCTCCAGGGATGGGCACTCCAAACCTCCCTGGGCAGCCCCTGCCAAAGCTTAATCACCCTTTCAGTGAAGAAGTTTGTCCTGATGTCCAAAAATTCAGTCACGGAATCAAATAGGTTGGAAAAGACCTCTGAGATCATCAGGTCCAAGCTGTGACTGATCACCACCATATCAACTAGACCATGGCACTAATCCTCCTAATTCCTCACACTTATTCCTGATGTCCAATGCCCTCCCAACGTGATGCCTCCCTTTCCACATCCCAGCCGAGGGGGGCTCCTCTGGGAGGGCTGGTGTCTGACTGCCCCTTTCCTCCCGTGGGGCTCGAGCCCCCCAGCCTGTGCCCTCCTGTCCCAGGGAGGTGCCCTCAGGACCCCCCAGCCCTGAGGGCAGCTCCAGCCGTGTGTGTTGCCCTCACCTGCTGTGTTCCCCCCTGCAGTGTACACCGTGTTCGCCTTCCTGGAGTACCTGGTTGTCCTCTCCAACATGGCCTTCCACATGACTGCCTTCTGGGACTTCGGCAACAAGGAGCTGGTGGTGAGCTCGCTGCTGGAGGACAAGCACTTCTAGCCAGCCCCGCTGCTGGGGGCTGCTCCTCCTGGGGCAGGCAGGGAGCCCCTTCCCTCTCCTGCCGGGGCAGGGGGTTTGCTGTGAACTGCTGCAAGGATCCTCCCGGGGATCCTCCCGGGATCCTGGGCCCCCCCGGGATCCTCCCGGGATCCTGGCATGGTCCCTGGCTGTGCCTGCAGCCCTCACATGGTGGAGCTGGGGGCTCTTCCCAGGGCCCCCCTGCTCTGGCTCCCTGCCAGCTGTGGGAGGGCAGGACGGAGCAGGGACAGGGCCCTGTTTCCTTGGGGGATGCTCCGGGCAGAGCGGGATTCTGCTCCTGGCATCGGGGCGTGGGGGGCCGGCCCTGCCCTGCTTGGCCTGGGGGGGTCTTGTGGTTCCTCCCCCAGGCTGGGGGTCTGGGGACAAGCCCTCAGAAAGGGCTGGTGGCCTTTTGGGCTGGCTCTGGGCGCTGCTCTCCCATGGGACTGGGGCAGGATCCCGGCCCATCCGTGCCTGAGTTCCTGGGAGGGGAGCAGGGAGGTGCCAGCCGTGCAGGGACTGCAGGGAGCGAGGCACTGAGGGCATGGCAGGTGTGGGAGCACCCACACTCTCCTTCCTGCCTTTCCCAGAAACCCCCCCCCAGCAGCACAGGCTGCTCCCAGGGGGGCTGTGCCCCAGTTCCAGCCCAGTTTGGGGAGGAAGGGCAGGGGGGCTGGTGCTGGAGGTCCCTGCTCCGATATCCACGTGGATTCCCCTGTGCTGTGGGGCTGGAGCTGGGAACTGCTGGGGTCCAGCAGCGTCCCCCGTGCGTGGGCTCTGGCTGCAAGGGCACTGTGGGCACGGCAGGGTGGGAGCTGGGGGCTGGCAGGATCCCCAGGCTCCTCCTGGCAGCGCTGCTGGAAGGGGCACCTGGAGCTGACGTGTTTTTGGGGAGCTCTGCGCTTGTCAGGGCTCGTCCCACCCCACACCCAGCCGGGAAGGACTGGCAAGGGTCCCTCCCTGCCCTTCCCCACCAAGAGTCCCCCGGGATGTCCCGGTGCTCATCCCTGTGCTCCCAGGGCTGGGCAGAGCCTCCTGCAGCAGGAGCTGTGGGGCCCTGGCTGAGCCGGGGCCGGGCTGGCTCTGGGTGCTGCCCTGTGTGCATCGCTGGTGTCCCCACCCGTGGGCCCCATCCATGGGCCCCATCCGTGTCCCTGCATGCTGTGACGCGCTGCCCCCTCAGCGCCGTGGCTTTGGGTGGAAATAAAGCACTGGGTATTTTTGTGAGCTCTTGGCAAACTCCACATCCACACTGCTCCCAGCGGCACGGCCAGTGCGTCCCAGCCTGTCCCAGCACATCCCAGCCTGTCCCAGCCCATCCCAGGACCACAGGCCAGGGTGGGAGCTGGAGTGGGACACAGGACACAGACCCTGGGAACCGGGGCTGGGATGTGGGATGTGTATCCCAGATGTTGAAGCTGGGGTGTGGGATGCAAATCCCTGGGGTTGGGGCTGGGATGTGGGATGTGGATCCTGGGTGTTGAAGCCCCAGATCCCTGGGGCTGGGATGTGGGATGTGGATCCCGGGTGTTGAAGCCCCAGATCCCTGGGGCTGGGATGTGGGATGTGGGTCCCGGGTGTTGAAGCTGGAATACGAATCCTGGATGCAGGATGTGATGGCTGGGGTGTGGATTCCGGCCCCTGGCTGGGCTGGGGCTGGGATGTGGGACCTGGCTCCGGGGTGCTGGATGACGCCAGGGCAGGCTGAGCCAGGCTGGGAGCCGGCCAGGATCCGGGCTGGGGGTGTGGGACTCCCGGGCTGAGCCCACCCCGCAGCTGGCCCGTTCCCCACCCAGCCCCGAGGGCCGCCGGCTTGGCTGCGGATCCTGCAGATCCTATGGATGCTGCGGGTCCGGGGGCCGGCACAGCCCCGGGGACGGGACGTGGAGCAGGGAGGGCTGGGATGGCACTGCCGGGGTCCGTCCGGGGCTGGGCAGGGGCCGGTTCTCCCTGCCCCGGGGGCTCGGTTCTCCCTACCCCGGCCGGGGGGGCCGTGCTGGGGCCCTGCCCTCGCTGGGGCCGAGCCGGGAGCAGCTGGGAGGGGACCGGCCATGAGCTCATCCCGCCGTGCCGGGGCAGGGCCGTGTCCCGCTCGCGGCATCCCGGGGTCCCCACCTCGTCCCTGCATCCGCTCCTGCCCTGGAACCCACCGCGGAGAGCAGGACACGGCCCTGGGGACACCCCGCAGTGGGAGCAAGACGTGGCTGTGGGGTCCCCACAGTGGGAGCAGGACATGGCCCTGGGGACACCCTGCAGTGGGAGCAGGAGGTGGCTGTGGGGACACCCCGCAGTGGGAGCAGGACATTTGGTTTGATGCCCACGGATTTGGTGCAGCCGGGACCCCCCAGCCCGCTGTTGTGCAGCCCCCCGGGGCCGGGCCGGGGCTGTGTCCCCTCGCCCAGGGTGGGGGTCCGGAGGGGCTTTGCCCCAGGCGGGGCCGTGGAAGGGGCCGTGGCCGGAGCCCCCCCGCCCGCGGCTCCCTCGCCCACGCCGGCCCCCGGCAGCCGGGAAGCGGGAGCAGGGAACAAAGGCGGCTTGTGGCGGACTCCGGGTCTCTGCCCTTCCTGCAGGAAGGCCCCGGGGCCGGACAAGGGGCCCGTGTCCCGGCACTGGGGCCCCGCCAGCCCCCCCCGGATCCGGCCGCCCGCCAGCACGTGCCGGGGGGGCTGCGAGGGGCTGGGAGCGGCCGGGGATGCTGCCGGTCCATCCCTGCCACCATCGGCAGCCACAGGAGCCACAGGAGTCCCCATTCCCACCCAGTGCAGTGACCCCCTCCTGCAATGTCCCACTCCTGTCCCTTGCCATGTCCCCCCGGGAGGGCTCAGCTGGGCACAGGGATGGAGGGGTCAGGGCTGGCCGTGGCAGGGACACCCCGAGCTTCCCCCAGCCACGGTTCCCTCTGGGCAGAGACCCCCAGCAGGAACCAGGAGCACCCTCAGCTTGGCCTGGCAGGGTGAGGGGTCCTGCCCAGCTCCCCCCAGGGAGTGTCCCCACGCCTGGGGAAGGTGGAGAGCACAGGAGAGCACAGGACACAGGGGAGACGGGCAGGTCTTTATTTCAGAAGCAGCTCGGGGGCCAGCTGGTTACAGGAGAGTCCCTGTGGAGCTCCGGCACAGGAATTCCCTGTTCCGGCTGCACCAGCTCCGCTCGCCACAGGGCCGGACACCCCCAGCGTGGGGGTCACCCCAGACAGCCCCCAGGAGCCCCTGGCATTGCCCCTGCAGCGGGATGGGGCCGTGCCAGGGCCGTGCCAGTGAAATGCTCCGGGGTGGGCGCACGCTGGGGCTGGCCCAGAGGGGCCGGGGGTCCCCCCATGCCCCTCCCGGTGCAGGGGTGGGGATGGCAGGTCCCCGTGGGGTGCTCAGGGCAGGAGCAGGTTCGGCCACCCCGGGCACCCCCTTCTCAGGAAGCGTCGCTGTGCCAGGGCCGGAGAGGCGTCACCCAAAGGGACACCGACAGCCAGGGCCGGGGGGGGTGTCCTGAGGGCGGGGGGAGCCCCGGTGCCCCTGGAGCAGGCAGCCAGTTAGTGCAAACGAGGTCTGTATTATTAAAGCTGGTGGCTTCGGGCGGGCGGCCCCGGTCCCACCGAGGCTGGGGGGGCAGCGGGGCGGGCGGGGGGCTCGTGGTGTTCGGGGGGGCGGCGGGGCCGGGGCAGGGCAGGATCGTCCCTCGCCCGCCCCGTCACAAGAGCACACAGGGCTTCTTGGGCTTGGCCGGGGCGGGGTTGAGCACGGCCCGCACGGCCTCGGTGAACACATCCTTGATGCCCTCCTGGTTGAGCGCCGAGCACTCCAGGTACTTGACGGCGCGGATCTGCTTGCAGAGGCTGACGCCCTGCTGGGTGGTGATGGGCGCCTGGTTCTGCTCCTTGAGCCGCTTCATGGTCTCGGGGTTGTTCCTCAGATCCTTCTTGGTGCCGACGAGCAGGATGGGCACGCTGGGGCAGTGGTGGCACACCTCGGGGTACCACTTGTGCTTGACGTTCTCGTAGGAGGGCGGGCTGGCGATGGAGAAGCAGATGATGAAGACGTTGGTCTGGGGGTAGGAAAGCGTCCGCAGGCGGTCGTACTCCTCCTGGCCGGCCGTGTCCCACAGGTTTAAGTTTATAGTCCTGCCGTCCACCGTGTTCTGGGCGCTGTAGTTGTCGAACACGGTGGGGATGTACTCCTTGGGGAAGGCGTTGGTGGTGTAGCAGATGAGCAGGCAGGTCTTCCCCACCGCCCCGTCGCCCACCACCACGCACTTGATGCTCTGCATCGCGGCGTCCCGGCGGCCCCACGGCCCCTCAGCAGCCTGCGGGGAGGGAGAGGGTCAGGGGTGGCTGGGGCTGGATCACTGTGGTCCCCCCCTGGGGCCAGAGGGTGCAGGGGGGTCACACTCGTCTCACCCTTGGTTCCCCCTCCAACCCACAGCCCAGATGAGCTTCCTGGCCAGGCACATCCCCCCAGCAGCCCCCGAGGTGTGCAGGGACCCCCCCAGTGGGGACCTGCCTGCCCTGACCCAGGGACAGCGCCTGTGCCACCGTGGCTGCTGTGCACAGGGAGCACACTGACCCCAGGGCGGGGTGTCCGTGCCAGCCAGGCTGTGGCAGCATCCTGTGCCGTGCCACACCCTGCCCCTGGCCTGGACCAGGACAGCAGGGAGCAGGAGCAGGGCTGGGCTGTGGCAGCGTGTGGGACATCACCCTGTGGGACATCACCCTGTGGGACATCACCGTGTGTCCCAGCCCCAATCCTGCCCACGCTGAGCGGGGCCAGGGCGGGTCCTGGCGGGGCAGAGGCCGGTGTCCGCTCCCAGCTGTGTTTATCCCCGATCCCGGCACGTTTCCCTTCCTCGGGTTCCCTCTGCAATTCCCATTAAGGGCCGCATCCTGCTCTCCTTCCTGCTGCCGAGCCCAGCCCGGCTGAGGCGGGGGCACCACACGGAGCCGGGCAGGAGGGTGCCCACCCCTGGGGCCGGCAGCCCCTTTCCCACCGGGATCTGGCCCCTGTCAGCCGGTGCCCACCGGAGGGATTGCGGTGGGAAGGCGGAACCCCGGCTCGCGTGGCACCACGGTGGGAGGGAGCAGAGGTGCCAGGGCGGAGAAGCCGCAGTCCCAGAGCCCCGGGTTGGGGGTCCCCCTTCCCCAGAGCCCCCCGGGGCTGCAGGGCCAGGCAGGGGGGACGGGGCCGAGCTCCTGCCCCCTCGGATGGGGAAGTCGCTCTTCCTCTTCCCGCCCTGACATGCGGCTTCCTGCACACGAGGCTGGGCCGTGACCCCCGCCCTGCCGGGCCACTGACACCCCACCGGGGCCACCGACACCCCACCCGGGCCACAGACACCCCACCGGGCCTCAGCGTCCCCCTGCAAGCCCCCTGCCATGGCGGGGGGATCCCCAGCCCTCAGCGTGGGAACAGGAGCGGCAGGGCCACCGCAGGGTCCCCACCCCCGGCAGGAAACCGCTCGTCCGGGCGGGATCCCGGGGGGGGGTCACAACAACCCCCCGCCCTCGGCCTCTGCTCTGGGAGGAAACTCAGCCTGGAGGTTTCCTCACACCAGTTTGCACCAGTGCAGTGCCCCCCCGGGGCCTGGGGGGCTCGGCAGCCCCCAGCAATCCAAAGTCAGCAACGTCCCCAGCACCCACGGGCACCCCAAGGTCACCACCCCAAGGTCACCAGTGTCCCCATGGGCACCCCAAGGTCCCTGTTTGCCTGCTGGGCAGCCACCCCACAACACACACACTCAGTGGGGCTCAGCTGAGTGTCCCCACTGCCCCCCAGTCTGGGGTCCCCTGGCTGCCAGGACAGGCTGGGGGTGGGACACTGGGGATCCCCCCAGTCTGGGGTCTCCTGGCTGCCAGGACAGGCTGGAGGTGGGACACTGGGGATCCCCTGGATTGGGGCAGCGGGTCCTGGGACCCAGCAAGGGTCACGCAGCTGAGGTGACCCCTGAGCACCAGCCGTGGCCTTGTGCTGATCCCAGAGAAGGACGTGGCCAACACTGGTCACCCCAAACCCAAACCCTGCACCCCCAAACTGGCCGCTGGCATCCTGGGGTGAGCTGGCACCCAGTGGGCACTATCCCCATCCCGGGAAAGGCCCGGGCCGAGTCAGCAGGGCTGAGGAAGGGGATGGGGCACATGAGGAAATGCTCGTGCCCATGAGAGCATCGCTGTGGGGAAAGGGAGAGGAGGAGGGGGAGAAGGAGGAGGGGACAGGGAGCCACTTCTCCATCACCCAGCGCCTCTG